AAATCTACATTCAATCCTTAAATGCATGGCATTACCAGTATTTATTAGCCCGATTACCTGTATAAAAATGGCACATAAAATAACATTTCATTTCAGAAAAGAAGAGAATTGTTATAATCATATGTATTATTTATCACAAGTTAAAAGATTCTCTATGACTGTCATGTTTTTATCTAAGAAAGAACAAGAAGGTAGGAGATTTCATTACAGTTTTAACAACTAGGATGTGTTTTGGAATACCTTTAAAGGGACAGGTTTACCAATCGTTTGACCAATTGTACTTTAGTGGAATTTTTTTACCTAAGCGAAAGTTTAGCTTTCAAATGCATGTGTGTCCTGAATTATCCCTGAAAGTTAAAATGACGACTCATCTTTTCTTGAGACTGCCATACATAGACAAATAGAACAGAACGTGAAATTTCCAGCTTCAGGTATTTTTTTAGGAATTATGCAATTTTATTCATGCTCACTTAAGTAACTTTAAAAAAAAAAAAACCCAAAAATTCCTGGGTTCAGGTGTGAACTTGCATAATTGAAGACTATATACATATATATTCAAGACCCAAATCAACCCCTGAAAATGGCAAACCTGTCCCTTTAAGAACCTTGAGTATTTTTTGTTTTTCTTCTCTGTGATAAAGATCATTCTTTCATTTAGAGGGACACATGTCGTAGTGTGATAAGCTCTCATTTGAAAGTATGACCATTTGTAAGGGAAATGATATGTAAACTTATTTACAATGTGTTTTCCAGGTATTAAAGATATATTTGGATACCTTGATGACAAGAAAATGGCTACTGACCCTGATCTGAAAAAATTAAAGAAATTATACCAATTGTGATTCATTGAAATAAACCTTTTGTTACTATGGTGATTTTTTTAGCGCTTGGTACCCATATACATCTGATGTTGGTAACATTGCCAAAAAGATCTGCATGTATCCCTGTATAAGAAATAAACTTAAAGAAGCTTATTATCCAAGTCTACATACAAATTTATTCACATATAATTATGTGTAACAGCACTTTCAAAGAAACAAAATTCACAGTGTTCAATTTAACAATCGGTTACACTAGATTATTCAGGGCAATAGTTATACCAAATAAATCCATGTACATCATCTAAATGATAGAAAGGTCTCTTCTTGATATAACGTTCTCTCATCTGCTGCCAGTACATTTGTGTAACTTATTAGTTGTCTAGATCCAAGCTTAAATAATTCACTAGCTATAAGTCCACTATAAATTCACTGATATTATTTAGATATTGTTTATTCATGTAGTCTGATAATTCTGATTTTGTTACCCATAAATAGTCTGAAACATCTCCTTCCTTCAACTTCACTGGTCCATTCTCATATAGGGCTTTAAAGAAAAATACCTGTAAAACAAAACACATTTCATCTCATATATACTATATTGGGTTTGTTTTCAAGATATTTAAGAGTTTTGAGTAATTATACATAAATCATATCAGTAAAAGAAAAAAAAAGATTTTACAACAAAATCTAGTTAATTTTGTCCCCTGTTTCCCAACCTGGGGTGTTTTCACTAGGGTGTGACCAACTGGTGTAGAAGAATTTATTTTGAGTTGAGAGAGCACCTCACATCACATGCTGAAAAGGTGGATGAAACAATTTTTTGGGGTATGAAAGGTCCACGTGATTGCTCCAGGGTTGTGAAGGCTGAAATAGGTTGGGAACCACTGATCTAGTCAATAGTGTCTTTCAATTATTTATGGAAAATTGTAGTACAGACAGATTAAAAGAAGGATATTCATTCTGAAGGAAACAGCAATAACTTCTGGTGTTCACATATCACTTTCAAAATTATTCTTGATCAGAGGGAATGACCTTAGGCTAGATGTTAAAAGTCAAAACTTATCATTTCTATAACTCACCTTTCTACCAATACTCTCATTTACTACTTTTTTAGGATATTTGTATTTAAAGAAGCCACAAGGTGCGTTTCCTATAAAACATGATTTAATCTGGTCTCCACATTGTGAATCTAAGGCTCTATTAGCTGTCTGAAATAAAAATGCAAGAATTATTGATATTATGGCATCATCTTAAGGAGTAACATAAAATAATTCTTTTGTAGATATTGGACTAATGTTTGGTAAAATCACCAATTCTGTATTAGAGTAAAAAGATAGTGGAACACAGCTATATACGCCCACCACGCCATGCAGATGGTAAAAACGATTGAAAAATCAGTTGAAAACTAATAGAGTAATTTAGCATATTCAAGATTTTGGGGCAAGGGCAGTAACTCTGCTTTTAACGGTCGAAAATAGCTCAAATTCGAACTTGATCTTCGTTTTATGAATATGTATACACATACTGAATTTCATTTGATTCCATCAAAAAATATAGTTTTTAGAGCATTTACAAGCAAATATGGACGGGTCCGACAAGGGTGCCGACAATATACGTCCACATGGAGAGATGTGTGCGTATAAAAACATGGAAAAAAAATAAAGAAATATTAGCTCAAAAGTAAGTGTTGAGAGATCTCTACCTGTCTCATTGATTCTCCATCTAACCATTGTGAGTGTGGTAAAGCCCATACATCTGTTTTACCAAGTCTCTGTTTAACAATCAATATCAGTTTCTCATCTAATTTTCTTTCTGTTGATTTTCTATCATCCTTTTCATCAGCAACTACACCAATACAAAATACAACTTTATTGTTCATTCTATATTCAATAAGGTTAAATCAAAATTCTAGACTAAAATATCACGTATCATTCACAAAAAATAAATTGATCTTTTACAACCATTTATCTATCATTTAAGTCCAAAGCACAATAATATAGGTACAAAATATTCCTTTTTGTCTGTTTTTTACAATATACTGTATTTCTAACTACCTGTCCTTCTAGGTGCGAAGGTAAACTCTTCTAACTCAGTCTTCCATTTGTCTTCTGCTTCAACAGCCATTTCTCTAGGATTCTCTAATTCTTCCACTGTTAATTCTTCTAACTTTATTCTTTTTGCATGTAACCTGAAATATTTTAACCATATAAAATCCTGCAAAGTTCACCCTGAATATCTCTAAACATGAAAATACAGGGTTCCCTTGTCTAAATACATATGTGTTTCAGTCGAATAGTCTCTTGATAATTTGCTTCAGTAGGTAAGCCAAGGATTGCTTAAAATTTCCAGAAAAATTCTTACTTATCATCTCGAAATCTCAGTTCATGATCAGACAGCAAACTGTTTTCTAGTTCTAATTTACTCAGAAAGTCACTCATTTTCTTCTCATAATCAGTCATTTCTTTTGTTATAATTGGCCTCCGCTCTAAACACACAGCTCCAAATAGATCCCATTTTTCTTTCTCTTTTTTAGTTGTCTCAGTACTGGTGCTATATAATCTTATGTGATGACTTGGTGGACATTGAAGCGTATCTAAAATGATGTAAAGAGCAAAATGTTATAAAGATGTTACAACCAGTCCAAATCTCTATATCTCTAGACTATACCTAATCCTAGTTATGATGGAGCTCAGCTAGAATAGGATTTGAGAAGAAAGATGCGTTTCTATTTCTCCAAATATTACTGGCATTCAATCTACTTTCTTGATAGTTAACCTCAGCATTTGCAATGACCCCTCAATCGTGAACATAGCCATATCATTAAAAGGGGACATGTTTCAGGACAGTTTTGGCGAAACTACAAATTGAGGGCAGTTTAAGTTCTGAGTCAACAAACTGACATAAGTCAGGCCTATTATAACTCCAATCTAATAATACAGAGAGTAATGATAATCATATTTAGGACGTCTCTAGAATATATCGAAAACCCTTAAACCTTTTAGATTTCTTGCATGTCGAATTCGTGCAAAATTTAGTCTTTGAAAATTCTGAAAAGAATAAGTGATACATCTTGTGCAAGCCATGTTTTGTTTCCAAATAGTGACAAGTTCTGGAAAATCGCGAGGAACTTTGTGAGTTATCTTTTCTTAGACGGAAGTTTGTATCACACATGCGTAAAACATGGTTGTTAGAAGAAACAAAAACAAACTTGCAAACCTGATGAAAAATAATCAATAAAAACGATTAATTGGTGAAATTACGTAATGATATGAGTTGGTGACAAGTGATTATGAGTTTTGGGTACATTTTTAGTTTCCTAAGATCATAATGAGTGATCATAATCATATTGCATCTATTCTCGACTAATAATGTAATGATGCTTTCCACATAAAATCAAATTTCGAATCATGGTCATGACGAGTCAAGACTGAACAAGTTTGATGCTATGTCCATCACCTTATTTTTCTAGCCACCATTCTTACTAGGCTTATTACATCAACTGAAGATGTTTCAAATAATCTTCCATTAGGCTACAGTCTGTAATTTGAAATATTGACTTATAATATATTGAAATTTGAAATACCAGACCTAAACTTTTCTTGTGAACAAGATCTTACACCACTTATTCTCACATCACATCTTTATTTTCTGTTAGCCTACTCTGAAACTGTTGGAACTGCTTTTTTCAATAACTGAATACTTAATTTCTTCAACATAAATCTCAAAATATGTCAAGTTATTTATGAATACTACACTATCTATATCATGATATTGAAATAATAATTAATTATTGAAATAAAATATTAATAATTATGATAATAATTAAGGCAATCACCACAATTGGTGTCATCTATAATTAATCTATTATTTCTGTACCAAAGTGTGGAAGTGGCCTCAAGGAAAATTATGCTATTCTTACTTGAATGAAGTATTAGGCTGTTCCTTTCTTATCAGAACGCAAAATCAAGAATGTACCTGCTACATTAGAATATTTTCAAACAGTAGGCACAAAGATATCATGAATGTCTGTAGCACTTAAGGTGAAATATGATAGGAAGAAGGGTCAAAATGAAGAAAAGTATCTTGCAAGGTGCTAATATATTACTTGGCAGATCAGTGATGACTTTCCCTCATGTTTAGGCTTACATTTAATTTCATTCACCATATATCTTTGTGCCATAAAGTAATAACATATCTGCAAAATAGTTGGAGTTGATTGGATGACAATGAACAATGTACAATTATGATAAGTTATTTTATTGCAGGGCAAGTTCTACTTCCCGTTTTCATGTGGAGGAAACAAACAAAGGCAAAGGGATATTTTTTTTACCGAAGGGTAAATAGATTTTGTGTTAAAAAAAGTTACGCTCATAACACAATATTTTCATAGAAAAAAAAGTATTAAATCAAAATTTTTAGATTGTTATAATGCTAATTTGAGGTTTATGTGTCTGTTCTATATTTCACCACCCATCTATGAATATATATTGATTTAAAACATACATTTATTTGTATTCTGTTTATGCTATAAAGTTTGCCAGACAAGACAAATCAACGTCAGAATACAGTTTTAAAGATAGATATATCAAATAAACTAGTTAAACAGAAGTGAATGCTGCTAAAACAATTTTGGTATTGTGTTTAAAGATATTATATTATCTGTGACAAGCACTCCATAGCAAATGTTTTAGAATATCTAATTTATTTTTCAGAAAATAAAGCTAAAGGACCTAAAAAGGTATGATTTCATGTAAAGTTATCATATTGATTCCTATTCATATTCTTCTTTCTTTTGATTCATTTCTGGTTCTTTCACAAATATGATATAAGTTACAAAGATAACATATCAGATTGGCTTAAGACTCAAATATAATATGATTTTTTAGTTTGGTTATAAACAGAAGAACCTACATCACCCTTTACGTAATATAAACAAAACTCCTGTTTTACAACCAGAGGAAATCAAGAAACCAAAACCTGAAAAAGATTTTGTTAAACGTAATCGTGAAAGAATCCACAAAAAACAAGTTTCAAAAAAAGATACTGGAATCAATAGTGGGACTGTGACTTTAACTCAGGAGCAATTAAATGCAATATTACAATCAGTTGGAAATTTGAAAGAGGGAAAAGAAAATGCTCTTAGAATCAGCATTGGTGAGTATGTTACTTTAATCTAGAAGTTTCATACCAGTAATTAAACTAATGTTTGATTTGTCTTAATTTGGTCTAATCTTCATATGTAGAATGAATATACCAAATTTCTGAAGAGGAAGTTCAGTTGACAGGTGTTTGGAATGTGAGCAAGCCGAGCCTTTTCAACAATATCTCATCTCAGTTGAAATCTATTTGATGTTATCAATCTTTTTATTTGTAAAGTATACAATGTGCATGCCAAGTATTTTCTAATTAAAACTCAATGTTCAAATTTCGAAAAGTAGTTTATAAGCTTATAAATAATAACCTTTCCATTAAAAATTATAGATCTATTGAATATTTCTTTTATCAGTTTTGGAATTTGGTACCCAATTTTCAAAATAAAAAAGCACAAATTAAAACTTTATAACATTTTATTTAGACCCTGACAGTCATGAAGTAAAGATAACGTCACCTAGACGGGGAAAAACAACAGCAGAAGTGACATCATCACGGTCTGTTAGACAGGAAAACTCAGATGATAATGAAGGAGATATCTTTCAACTAGCTTTGGGAGAAAATGAAAAGTAAGATATTTTTATTGAAATATACACATCCTAGTCTTTATTATCATGAAAAAAAACCCTTTTGTTTCAAATATTTAGTTACTTTTTAAAATCTGGACAATGCAATAATCTTTCAAATTATTTGGGCAACATGAAATAGGCTTACTATTATCTCTTGACCTCCAATGTGCAATATATCGATACCCAGATAATGCCATGCTTGTCATCAATAAATAATCATCATCATCAACTAAGGTTTTCAATATCGATACATCGTCCAATTACAATTTTTATGGCTAGAAATAAAATAAAATTTTCCAGAAGAGATGAAGAAGATAGCAAAGAAGTAGAGAAGTTTATATCTGAGATATCAGCAAGGAAAGAAAAATCTGAAGCTAAAGAATTAAGCAGAAATGAAAGCAAAGAAGACAATGAGAGCTCAGTTATACATTTACCTCCAGTTCCACCAGCACATCTTACTGTGGCAGAGAAAAAAAGATTACAGTGGGCCAGAGAAAAAGGTATGCATTGCAAACTTATAAAAATTCTTATGATTGTACTTTTTGTGACAAGTTGTGACAATTAAAGAATATCAAAGGACATAATATATCAATTAGTTTATATAAATTTGTATTTGTTCAATTTGTAACAATGTCCATATAATATAATCATGTATTATAATACATCTCAATGTAAATGTTTTTAAGGAGAAAGTGAAAATTATAATCCATGGGGAAAACCAGGTGCTGGTGCTCCAGTAAGAAATAATGTTGGTGATGTTTTAGCTGATTATAATACAAGAAAGGTAAATTAATACATTGGAAAAACAAAAAATAAATTTAGAACCAGATTCAATGGCCACAGTTATGATATAAATCATAATTTGGATAAAACTTAATCATCTGGATCATCACATAATTAATGTAAGAATCACCCCTATTAAACATATTCATGAACAAATTGATATTCCAACTTTCGACTGCTTAGAGCAAATTACTACATTGGTGATGTTTCAGCATACAATCTCTCAATGATTGCAACAGTAGAACTTTGATTTAAAGGGACAGATGTCATTTTAAGATACTCTGTGACATATATATAGAAATAGTGAGTAAAATTCCTAGTTTGAGATATTTTTGAAAGAATTATGCAATTTTCGTATATTTCTAGTACTTTTGAAGACTATTTACATATTTCCAAGACTCAAATTAACCCTCAAATTGCACACCTGTCCTTTTAGTACACATATATAAATATTACAGGAAGATATTAAAACTAGTCCACGTCATCAACCTCCAGTCACATTAGAACCATTCAGTCCAAGGTCCAAGAGACATCAGAATTTAGATGGACCTGTCAAGGGTACATTAGATATTGGGGTAAGCTTATTATTTCATTCATATAAATATGGCTTTGAATTACTACAATTCTGAAATGTTTTAAAGGACCATTACGCTTTTTTGTAAAAAAAATTTTTTATCAAAAACATATAAATTATTCCTGGAAATATTTCTAAAGTATGCTATTTTTATATCTACATGATCAAACTGAATTTGTTTTAAAAGGGTTGATTAAAAACACAGAGTACTAATTGTTAATTTTGACACTTTTAGTTAGTTTAACCTAGTTTTGGTATTTGACTTTATAATAGCTCGATATTATTAATTTTTTTAGTTAAAACTTTCAGATATGTTAAGGGACACATTTCTCTGAATTTTGGTGTATAGTTTTCACAAATTTGAGCAGAATGGCCCCTTTAAGATATTCTCTTTATTAATATGATATAATATATATAATATGTTTAATCTAACCTTTGTTACAGCAATTAACAGATGAAGATAAATTACTAGCTAAGAAAGAAGAAGCACAGAGAAAGTTTAGGGAAGACTTAGGTAGGTTATATTGGATTTATACTATATACTTTGTAATCTTCATATTTTGTACTCTTTCATTTCTTCATTTTCAAATTAACTATTTCTTGATTAGTTACACACACAATGATAGTTTTAAAAGCATAGCTTACTGTCATAGTTTGTAGTTATTTCTTCAGTTTATGTTGTTTAATTCAGAAAAACAACTGGAAGAGAAGAGACAGAGAGAAAGAGAAGAAAAAGCCAGAGAAAATATGGATAATACCTGGTCTAATAAATTCTCTAATGAACATAAACCAGCTTCCCTCCCAGCTCAAAATACTTCTCCCCCTCAACAAGCTGAATATATATCTTCAAAGTAAGTCATACCATTTAGACCATAATTTATTCATAACATAAATAAAGCCATAATGCAACTCCTGTCAGCCCATAACATGTTGTCTATGTGAATAATGGTCCTTACCTTTTTAGAAAATCTCCACGAAGAAAACATGATCAACCAGAAAATAGAGTGAGTGCAGCTACAAATTCCACTTCACAGGTACCTCCAGCTGCAATGAGAAGTTCCTTTGCATTAGGGGTGAGTTAATAAGAGACTTTTGATCATGATCAGACTTCATGATCAAACTGCATCTTCACACCCCTGACTTCTATGTTGGTTTGGGAATTTGAGACAAACCAAAGAGGTAGCTATACTTTTACCCATAAATGCCACTGATCAGTTTATAGAATACAGATTAAAATTACCTTTCTACATGATGAGTTCAGAAATAAATTTTATTCAAGAGTTATTCTTATGTGCTGGTCTACCCTATCACTTATTTCTTTATCACTTATTTCTTTAAATCAAAAACTGCAGCATCAAATCAACAATCCTGTTACTTTTTCTCTTTTCAGCATAGGTTGTGTTATTTATTTCTTTTAAACAGGATTTTTTTCCAAAATCAGTAACTTTATACTGTTGCTATTTATTAATCCTATTATTTTATCGCTATACAGGGTCTAGCATTAGATGATAATAGATATAAACAAACTAAAGCGGAGGAAAAGAGGAAGTGGTTGGAAGATTTAGGTATTTTGTTTTCAAACTTTGAACATATGGTAAACTTTGTGTGAAATCAGGTATACCTATATATTAGCCTGGTCCTTCACTTAGCAAATACCTGCTGTAAGCAGTGAATTTTTAGCCTTACTTGGCTAGCTTAATAGATGTTTGACTGTGCATCTTTATGTTTATACTTCTCTATTCTGTTTTAGAGAAACAAATGGAAGAGAAGAGACTACAGACTTTAAAAGATAAAGAGAAACAAACAATATCAGAGTGTACAGATAAAATTAATTGGGCTGATCCTGTTCAAATACCACCATCTGTACTAAATACATCTCCTAGATCTGATCATTATAGCTTGATACACAATAGTGGTGAATTTCAACATGATACAGCTAGAACAAGTAGTGCTCCTGATCCTCCAACTGACCAGTAAGTTGTTAAGGTTTATTCAATATTAACACAGCTAGAACTAGTAGTGCTCCTGATCCTACAACTGACCAGTAAGTTGTTAAGGTTTATTCTATATTAACACAGCTAGAACTAGTAGTGCTTCTGATCCTCCAACTGACCAGTAAGTTGTTAAGGTTTATTCTATATTAACACAGCTAGAACTAGTAGTGCTCCTGATCCTCCAACTGACCAGTAAGTTGTTAAGGTTTATTCTATATTAACACAGCTAGAACTAGTAGTGCTTCTGATCCTCCAACTGACCAGTAAGTTGTTAAGGTTTATTCTATATTAACACAGCTAGAACTAGTAATGCTCCTGATCCTCCAACTGACCAGTAAGTTGTTAAGGTTTATTCTATATTAACACAGCTAGAACTAGTAGTGCTCCTGATCCTCCAACTGACCAGTAAGTTGTCAAGGTTTATTCTATATTAACACAGCTAGAACTATAGTGGTCCTGATCCTCCAACTGACCAGTAAGTTGTTAAGGTTTATTCTATATTAACACAGCTAGAACTAGTAGTGCTCCTGATCCTCCAACTGACCAGTAAGTTGTCAAGGTTTATTCTATATTAACCCAGCTAGAACTAGTAGTGCTCCTGATCCTCCAACTGACCAGTAAGTTGTTAAGGCTTATTCTATATTAACACAGCTAGAACTAGTAGTGCTCCTGATCCTCCAACTGACCAGTAAGTTGTTAAGGTTTATTCTATATTAACACAGCTAGAACTATAGTGGTCCTGATCCTCCAACTGACCAGTAAGTTGTTAAGGTTTATTCTATATTAACACAGCTAGAACTAGTAGTGCTCCTGATCCTCCAACAGTAAGTTTTATTCCATGGCACATCAATTTATCAGAATTCTCTGCTTAACAAGAAGTGGGATCAATCTGAAATTTACAGGATGTAGACAGAATGACAATACAAATGAAACTTTTTTTCTCTTTTTTCTTTACAAATTGAAAATTTTGAGATGACATTTCTGAAGTGTAATTATATACTTGAATTATTTACCAGATACCTAAGAGTTTTATATTATTATTGTCTATGCTGAAATATTTCTCTATGAATAATTAAAGTAGTATAAGAATTAAGTCTATTTTAAATTTAGAACATTGATACGAGGTCAGAATGTGATCATAGATCCAGTTACATTAAAAGATTTAGAGATGAAAAGAAAGAAGCATTTAGATCATCAGGTTAGCAACATTTTAAATCATTCACTTTTAAAAGATATGGTTTGTTAGAATTAAATACAAAGTTTTTTGATAAATAGATTTTTATTGTAAGTCAAGAGACAAATCTTATATTCCATGGTTTTGATGGTTGCTATTATGCCTTATGCTATTTAGACAAAGCTGCCAGTGGGTGTATAATATCTGGTAATTTATTATATAGGAAGCTATCAAACACCAGATTGAAGAGAAACAGAATAATTTACGTAAAGAAAGGGAGAAGAAATGGGCAGAAGAACAGGAAGCAGAAGAAAGATTAAAAAAAGAAAGAGAAGTTCTCCAGACACAGTTTGAAGTAGAACAACAGAAGATAAGAGAAAAAGAGGTTTGAATTGATAATCTTTACAAATAAAAACTACAAAATACAGGGAAATATCAGTGATAAAGAAAGATACAAGATTTGTCAAAATGTTCACATATAAACGCAATCTTTTACACTAAATTGTTTTTGATTTCAGCAAGCAAGAGAAGAAAAATTGCGTCAACTTAAAGCAGCTATGGATGAAGCTCAGGAGAGAGCTCAACATGAGAAACAACTGAAAAGAATGCATCATTTACAACAGGGTGGCCATGATATTACACATCTGAAGGCTCATTATGAAGGTAAAATCATCATTCATATCATCTAAAGTTATATCTATAATGATTTCCTTTTTATTTTGATTTTGATTTAAATTTTATTAGAAGTAACAGCTAGTCCTTAGATGTCTATTACTATGTAAGCCAAGTTTTGAAGAATAGAATTGTATTTAAAATAAAAAAGCAGTCAGACCATAGAATAGACCTCGCTTTTAAATTTTCTTTCATTATGGGTGATTGTTTGCAATGTTGTTTATAGTCAGTTGTATTATTGTACTGTTTTTCATTTTGGAAGATGAGTTTTGAAAGATAGTATTGATTATAATGTTACGATTAATTCACCATGAAATATAATATTTATATTTTTGTATTACTGCTTCTAGTTCTCTCACCATCTCCTGTTCCTATTGGCAGATCTACAGTCATGTCAGTTGCTAAGCAACCAACAGTTCATAACAATGGTAGTTAATAGCTTACAGTTTTCATCTGCAGCATTTTAGCTTTGCACTCTTGCACCTTGACATAGCTTGAAATTTTTAAGCCAGAGCAAAAAAATACTGCACCTTTGTCACCATGCATGTTTTAACAATTTATATCATATAAATCTTACAAATATTCAAATTGAAAGGTAGTAAGTTTCAACAGAGGATTATTATACCTGATTCAGCTGGAAGGATAGGGATGTTGAATACATAAACTTCCAAGTGCATGCTTCAGAGATTTTTCTAAATATTTTCTTACAAGGCAATTAACTTTTTATGCATCATCTAATTTTAAATATTTCAGATTATTTTTTCAGATCATCAAATTTATTTTTCACAGAAATCAATTATAAATAAGTTTAATTTTAATTTTTATTCAAACTATAATTGCTCTTAAAGAATGTTTATTAAATGTATTGTGTGACCAAGACAGAGACTACAAGCGGCCATCAACAATCTTTTCATTTTTTCATTCGCCCCTATCCTGGCTGCTTGTTTTTAATTCCCACCCAGTTTAAAGTTAATTATGATTGTGATAACAATACTAATATTCACTATTATGACTTCAAGTCTTCTCATGTATGATGATTAGTCTTTTGTTGTAACTAGAACTTTTAATTATAATATGATATTTCTCCTTGTTTTTTACATTTATTAATACATTGTTGAATATTTCTCATACAAGCTGAATTATTTTTGACTATATTTTTGAAAGATTTGAGTACAATTTTAGGTATCTGTATCACTTTTCAGTTTCATAGTTTGTTGTCTATGTCATCTACATCATCAAACAGTTGATTTTTTGGAAAAATTGGGTCCAACTCAAATGAAAGTTTTTTGTAAAAGTGAAACGGTAGTTAGAATAGAGTTTTCAGAATTTTAATTTCATTGATATATTTTTTGTTGTTTTTATATTATATATTGTATGATAAATAATATATGTTCAAATATACTTGTAATCCTTTTAACTGACTTTTTTGGTTTCTGTTTAAGGCATTCAAGCAAGATCACCTAGAGGCCAGAATCAACAATCTCAACCTGGATTTTTACTAAATTTAAATGAGGATGTTCCAGCAGTTGACTCATCTTACCAGTCTCACCATAGTAATCCTACACAGCGTAGTCAGACTGGACAACAAGTACATCATGATGATTACATAGTAGATAAAGTGGTTGAAGCGCCTAAAAAACCAAGTGAACCCTTTACAGACCCTTACTCTATATTAAGAAATTTTGGTACCCAAACAAGTAATTATGTGCACCTCTATCTCTTTTCACTTCATCACCTCCCTTTTATGTGAAATCAATTAAACACCAGACATAGTCATCAGACATCATTGATGTAGAATGTTAATCTGATGGATTGATTTCATGTTTAAGGTCATGAAATATCAGAGATGTTTTATTAATTTCTTTGTTTATATAAAATGTCTCTGTATATCATATCATAATCATGCATATTGTTATTTTATTGTTAACACAAGAACCAGGCATAATTTATGTATTTGTTGAACGTAAATTTTGCCTTCCATTCTGACTCTTAATTCATTGCACTGCTAAGGGTTTTCTCTGAAAATTATTGTTGCAAATAGTATTCAGTTCAGATTGTTTCAAAAAAAAAGCATGTAAAAGCATGTGATTAGACATAGCATTTCCCAGTATCTGCATCATTGATTATCAATAGGCATCATAATTATCACTGTTCATCATTGATTATCAATAAGCGTCATTATTATCACTGTTCATCATTGATTATCAATAAGCGTCATTATTATCACTGTTCATCATTGATTATCAATAAGCATCATTATTATCACTGTTCATCATTGATTATCAATAAGCATCATTATTACACTGTTCATCATTGACTATCAATAAGCATCATTATTATCACTGTTCATCATTGATTATCAATAAGCATCATTATCATCATTGTTCATCATTGATAATCAATGGGCATCATTGTTCGTCATTGATAATCAATGGGCATCACTATAATCACTGTTCATCACCATCTCTTATTTCGATGTTGCTATGTTAAAACATCAATATTATTTAAAGATTCTATTGACAATTACTCAGAATCTGTTGTCGATCATTGTCAGATAATGGTTTAAAGTGCTGGTCAGCAAAACCTGCCACAACTATATTATATAACTGACATGATATTAACACTATAAAAAACTTAGATTACACCTTGTAATACCGTCAAGTAACCTAATTTCGTGCAAAAATGACAAATAATTTACATGTGTGACCTCGCATGACCTCTGCATTTGTATGTTTTGATTAACATGGGTAATTTGTACAATGTCAACCTGCAAAATTTTTCCTATAGTTTCAAAGCAATCTCAACTTTATTATCAATTTCTAACATATATATACAAAATGGCGATTTCAGTTATTACCAAATATCAATTTTTTATCAGCCAAATTTCCCTATAATCCCGAGCTGTAATCAGAATTCCAAGTGTCGTCTGCTAGCATGTATTCCAGTGAACAAAGTTCATATATTAATTATTTAAAACGAAAATAGGTGACACAATTTTCCATTTTTAAATTTTGACGAAATTCGATGTTGAATCCTTATATGCACAAATATAGGTTACACCACTGTATAAGTTTAAAACCTCTGTAAAGCTCATATTAAAATAATCAGGATGAATGAATTATTGTGCTGTTATGTTCTAATAATTTATATACATGCAATATTTATGTTTTATGTAGTGTACTGATTGATACTTCAACATTTCAAATCTGATCCCCTTAATCATATATTATAACTTTACTGTACAGATTATTTGTTAATGTGCACAATTTTTCATTATCATCTGAATCATTACCACTCCTACACTACCTTTTATTCATTCTAAACAATCAATTAATTATATTTCAGTTTCTGATGGAAAAGAATTTAATCGTGAATTAAGTGAAGTTCAGATTGAATATAAAGTGCCTGATGAAACCATGGAAAAACAGAAACAGAAGCATGGAAAAACAAAGACTAAAAATAAAACAGTCAGATTGAAAAGTGCTGCCAAAGTTCGAAAATTTAAGGTTGAAAAACCACAGCCCATGGAAAAGAAAGAATGGAATTACAAAAATCAAAAAAACTTAAAAAATGTGAAAAACTCTGAGAAAGATCCTTTTTATGAGCAGAAAAAACGTGAAAGTCAAGCTAGACATGCTAAAAGAGCAGAACAACTTTATAAGATGATAGAAGCTAACAAAGCTGTGATACCAACAGAAAATGGTCCAGGGTCACGTGATACTTCACCACGAAGATATCACTCTCAGTCACCTCGACGTAGTTCACAATATAGTCCGCGAGTAGACAGAAGTTTATCTCCTCACCTAAGATCTGAAACACGAGTGATGAATCCTAAATCTCCTAGAGCAGGACAATCTCTATCTCCACCACCTAGTAATAGACATACACCTCATAGATCAAGATTAGATAATTATCAGAATCATGTGGAACAACCAACTCAATGGAGATCACCTCCAGTACCTGCTGTCAAACACAGACATCAGTATAACAATGAAGTGGAAGATAGAGGATACGATGACGATCATTTCCATCATCAATATAAAGATAACGAACCTATCTATCCACCTGTCACAGAAAATGATTTTATCCCTTTCACAAGAACAACAGAAGTTTTGGATCCATCTCATGCTGAAGAACCTTTAACTGTATCACGAGAGAACACCAAAGTTCAGAGAGGAAGAAAAGCTTATAGAGATAACCAGCATCCAGGTGATTATGGAAGAGGTATCAATAATTATCAGGACAAAGGTCGACAGTCACATCAAAAGGTATGTTAAGTTTAATAGATTTGGAGACTAGTGCATAACATTGGCAATACACATTGATAAGATGAAATATATTCTAAAATGGGCCATACAAAGTGATTAGTGTAAATTTGTCCAAAATTTATAAAAAAAAATTTGCACTTATAACCCAAGTTACAATGCAGAAAAAGTTAATATTATGATTCATGAAATTCATGGACAATGAAGACTATTGTTTGTTACAGGATCCAATGTATAACCCTAGTGTTATAACAGATCATCCTACTGGTAGACAAGATGAGATTTTACTACAACTCTCACAGCTAAAACAGGTAAATCTTTCTTTACCACTTATTTCAAAAACAGATTTGATATTCGGCCTCTTCTATCTCAGGAATACATGTACATGTATGGAAGCAATCCCGATGTATTTCTAATGAAGTTTCTCATGATTTTATGTAAGCTACAATTAACTAAGTATGAATGTCATAAATGTCATATACTCTGGACTGGAGTAATTTGATTAAAACATATGCTGTTTAAGAAAATGTGAGATAACTTGGTAAGAATAGAGAGAAACAACTTAGGTGCCCAATGGCTTCTCAGGTAGTGAAAGGTTTAACATCAATCGATATCATGAGGTCATGAAAAAGGTTGTTGTCCGGATTGTAAAGATGCTTAACAAAATCATGACAAAGAAATAAGACAAATCTTGTTAACATGAATGTGTGTGTGTAAAAAATTAATCCTATTAACCATTATGTTTGTTTCAGAATTTAATACAGAAACAGAGAGAGTTAGAGACCACCATGTCTCCTAGTGCTTTATTACAATAACATTAGTTGCTAGGTTTCTGCCACCAACTATATGAAAATAATGAAATCAACTAGCCTTGTGGTCGGAAGATATTATCGGAAATTCATCAACTAGGTTTCTTTCGAAAACACTTGACCTTTGCTTAATAAAAAATCTCTTACCTTATATTGTTGAGGTTGAGCTGTGATATTAATTAAAACTGTCCTGATAAAGACTTCATAATACTTACTATAATCTTATACTATATTCAAACTGTTGTAGTCATTGTATTTTAAAATTCACCAATTCTTCAACTGTGTGTGGATGGACCAGACCACCTTTTCTTGATTTTTTAGCCACCAATATGCTATATATATTTAGATTTGCCCACCTTATTTATTCACTTAATATGTAAGCTTTAGTTTAATGAATGATGCCACTGTTGTAGTCAAGAACTTGCTTGCTCTTAAAGGGTTTGTAAAGAGGTTTTGTAAATTTGTTATGTGTATTGGAGACACACTCATCAATTTGCACAATTCCAATATTCAATCAGACATCTTTGATTCCTGAAATTTCACTAAAACTAAATGTTTGAATATGTCACTAATCAGGAAGAGCCTTATGTGATAAAGCATATTAGGCCATTGATTGATAATTGGAATGGTGCAAATTGATGATATCAGTGTCTCTGGTACACATAACATATTTACAAAACCTTTTTTACAAAGTCTCTTTAATAGGCATCTGATGTCAGTAGTTCAAAAATGAAAAAAAAGTCATAAAGTATACTGGTATTGACACTGGTAATCTGACTATTACTTGTTAGCAGAGTTTTGGACTACATTAATATAATTATGTTATAAGGGCTTTTATAAGCTGGTCTTGATAAAGTATTGTATATATATTCTCAAGGTGTATTTATTATATAACTAATTGTATATCGTTTTAAATTTGTATAGTTAATTAAGAACCTTACTAGAGAAATATTGATATTCTATAAAATTGACATCAAATAATATATTTATTTGGAATTTTTAAATTGACTAATTCTTTGAATTGTATTGAAAATCTCAAAAAGGGATTACATTTAAAAGGCAATGAATAGGGTTGTTTACAATTTTTTTTTCAATTTGACTTAAGGGTGAATTTCTTTATATACAATATAAACTAGCATTTTGTGAAATTGCTCTCTTATAAACTTTTACATGGTAATTTCAAATGTAAAAATCCTAACATCAAAGTTAAATACTTTTAAAAAGCCATAATTAACATCACAATCCTGTATCTGTGTTTGAAATACAATGATTTTGAATTTGATATTTACAAGGAATTATAATCTTATCCTTGGCAAGATATAGTTGTCTGAATGTGTGCATTACCAGCTGACAGTTATCTGTATCACTTCTTAGAAATAAAATTACCTTTGTCTACAATTAAACAAGACAGCACCATGGAAGTTACCAGCTCAAATTCTATTCTGTAAAAATGATACAAATAGCTAAAATTGAGCTGTAAGCAAACATATTCTGACAACTGTTTACTTGTAAATTAAGTTTATAGTAAGATCTGACATCTCCCTGCCCAATCTCATTATATCTATTGTATAAGTATATATATCTATTGTATTATGATATTGTCCATTTCTCGATCTGTGATAATTTTTATTATGTTATGTTTTATTGGTTGAAGGTTGTACATGGAGATATCATATACAGATAAACATAGTCGTCTCAATATGTTAGTCTTTATCAATTTCAGTTATCAGTATCACTTTATAGAATAAAATTCTGACATCCGGCTGTCGTGCAAATTACACACAATGTACCACGGAAGATGATACAGTGGCCACTTTCAGGCCATCATCACGAGTGACTGATGACACCATCTTATCTGCACATGATTATATCAATAAGGTCCTGCCAAAACTTCCATGGTGCATTTTATATGCAATATTCACCGATTTTCAGCATTAGACTTATAAAAATTGGCATTTTGGATGGATACTATCCAATTTTCACGGATTTTCTTCAAAGTACTTATCTCAAAAGAAACGATTTGAAAGGTAACGTACCATTCCCATTCTACATACTTCATTTTGTTGACGGATTGTTTAATTTTTGTTTTCCTGGTATTGCAAAGATAATGCCTATTCAAGCTAATGTGAATTAAATCAATTTAAAATTAAGATTGTTTTAAAGACATGCATGTAAATTGTGTTTAATCATTTATCGGGTTATTGCTAGAATTAAAATGTAAAGGAGGAAACCTTTATGAAATGTGTCTTGTAACCATCTGACGACTGAGAAAGCTTAGTTTCAATCATTGCAAGGTATCTAAAGTGGTATGACCTTCCATGACCTCCAAAGCCCAGCATACATCTTAATCATGCGTTGAGATAACAATCATAATCGTAAAAATTTTGTCTGAAAATTATCAGGCTGATATTGCCTAAAGGCAGACATAAATAAATGTCGTGATCACGAAAGAATGATCAAAACAGTGAATCTGACAGAATCTTCTCAGAAAACTAGTTGAAAAAGATTAATTCAAAATAATTATTTTCCATCACGTATCTAATGGCAACCAACTGGAATGATTTTATTGAAAAAGGAACAAATTAGAGAAACTGACATAATAAAAATCCTTAGAGGTCCCTTTTAATTTCTTTGAAGAGTTTGATTAGAGCAATATTGATTATTGGTTTTCTGGCAGACGCTGAATGGAAATAACCCGCCAAAATGTTTGATGTTAATATTGTATTAATGGCGGGAATTCTGTTGTTATCTAACTAGCCATGAAATATCACTAACTATTGATTCACACCAATTCATGTATGGAACATCAAATGGCCCATAGACCATGTTTCTTTCCAAGATCGACAATTAGTGTCCCTACGTCTATTGGTGGGCTGGGGTTCGTTCAACGTATCGGCCGCAGCGCGTACACATGAAGAAATTATAACCGACTGCAATTGCGAAATTGTATGGAAGCAGATTGCTGCTGCACGGGTTGACGAAAAGACGCCCCCCCCCCCCCTCCTTTTGCTAAAAAGTAAAACAACCGACGAAATCGGCGAACTGTCAGTCGTCAAGCTGGTTGCCATGCTCAAATCGACTTAGTCTAATCCGGCAATTATCAGATACTTTCTTACAGGCCTATATTATGAACACCCAAAGTGGATTTAAACAAACTCTCTTTGTACGAGGATTAAAATAAATATAATATGTGTGCTCAAATTGTTCCCAATCATTCTCTTTTATATACTATAGACGGCCAGGTTCTGTTTAAATATTTCTATACTTATATGGAAACAGGCAGAAATTGTGATTGGCTTTTAGCACCTTAAGATACAAGTAAGATTATTATCCCATTAATGATTTAGAGCGTCTTTAATTGTAAATGGGACACGAAGGTTACACCATTCTAAATGCACCCAAAACAAATTGTAATCAATACAGCAGACTTGTTATCAAGGCCCTCGCGTGCTTCCGTATAAAACCCTCTAAGCTCATTAAAGTATAGGGAATAAGATATAAAGTACTTGTAACTATCAAGGAGTTATAATGAGTGTGATAAGTTAGAATAGAGTAATTGATATAGCACAGGAAAAACCTGAAAGCTAACGGAACAAACTGCAGAAGGGACGATGGTACAGACACCGGACGGAAACATACAGTGATACAACAAACGGAAGAAGACTCTTGTTATAACTCGATACTACAGAAATAATTCAATATGACACAATCGCATCTTCTTGTGATTTTATTATGTCTGGGATTCTATTTATTTACTTTAACAGAAGGTAGGAAATCTATGTTTTATCGCTTTGAACATTTACCTTGACACCTTGCTTTTGTAGAAATAAAAAAGGTGCATTTTGCGACCTTAGTTGCATTCTTACCTTTCAACAGAATAATATTAAGTGTGTATATAAAAATAATATTTAAAGGTGCAATTAACACTGTTGCTCTACTTAAAAAGTCCGTTTAAATGAACAAAAATAACATTTGTACTGTAAGGTTATATGATGCCTGAACAGAGCATATTTGTCAACTGTAAATTGTATATTATATTAAATAATGCACTTTCATGATTATAATTGCGTTCTCGAACACAGCAATATAGAACCTTCGATCTCATTTAAACCATATATTGAGCAAGTATTTTATCGGTGGTAATGCGAATTAATCCCATAATCCCAAAAAGATATAAATCAGGACCCATTATTGTGGCTTACTTCCAAGATATTCCCATTTCTTTTCTGGGGATGATGAGGGTTGGAGAATGAAGAATATTTTTGGGGTAGATCTACTACAATGAAGAAAGGTTTATTAACACGTGGTTCTCATTTATATTTAACAATAGACACAATAATATTGATATATTCTAAAGAACGTCTTGAATGTGGTAAAACCAGATAAACATGATTTGTATCAGAAAACAAAGGACATTGTTAAACATGAAACAATTCATTAATAATTAACGAGTCACGAGTTCTTTTACTTTCTCATGTATAATTACACAAGTTTAAATTTATGCTTAATTACAGATAACGACATCGATAAAAATGTAAATGATATCCTGGAATTAAAGGGATTGTTCTCAAAATTTTCATTGTTATACCTGTTATACCTGTTCTTCGGTCTGTTTGTAAGCACAACGACTTCTTGACCACCTTGTAAATTTCTAATAAGACTTCCAAAAATGAAGTAATAAAACATTTGTTTTGGTTTGCTTATGTTCGTTTTGCGCATACGACAAATTACTGATACAATTCCACTAAATAATGTCACTAATCATGAAGGGGTTTATATGTCCACGATGTGAGGAAGATTCTAATATAAAGCGCAACTGTTAAACGGGTATATCCCTTTAAGTCTATAAAATCCCACACTACAATGTTTGTGTGTAGGAATTAATAATATGATCTATAATATGTTAAATTTTGATAATCTTAATTGTGTCTAGATACTTCATGCGTATCAAGATTAATATGGGAATGATGGCTTGTATATCCTGTAAAAAAAACAGTTAAGGACAA